GGTCACTGCGAACCTCCTCTAAAGTCTCATCATCAAGGAACTCTTTGTGACGTGAAATGTAAATGACCCAGAGGCAGATATTAGGGTTCAAACTTTAAATTAATGATTAGGGAAGCAAAGCAGCCAGCCAATAGATTCTTACTTCTGACTCAGGCTGAATGGGCTGACCCTGTCTCCATGAGCTCCTACCAAGCTTCAGATGGTAACCTTTTTTCTGGATGGCTGCAGAACGAATGTGTCTATTCAGTGTGGCTGGAGAATGAATGCCTCCTGCTGAATACTGAAGACCTTGCTTCTGTCTTTACACCTCTCTAGAGCTGGGATTAAAGGTGTGTGAGTTGTTACTCCTTTAGACTGATTCAATCTCTTGTAAACCTGGGCACCCTTGAACTCAGAGAGATCTGATAACCTCTTAATCTTGGGTCCTAGGATTAAAGGTGTGTGCCTGGCTTCTAAGGCTTGTGTCTGATTTCACTTTCTGAATCCTCAGGCAAGCTTTTAAAAAAGCATAAATAATCACTACAGCTCTTGGAAGTGAGATTAGCCATTTGGAATGGAGCCATTCTCTGGAACCACAAAACACAGACCCAGTCACATAACCATTAAAGACCTTTCAGAATTTCTCTAAGAAGGAGGTTTTCTCCCACCTTTATATATGTGTAAAATGCTTTGAGATAGAATAAAAAGTTACCCTCAGTGAAGCCACACCTTGCAGTAGGCCATTTGAGCTTGGCAGTAAGCACCAGCCAAATGCTTTGTACACACTTTACAGGGTCAACACTGACAAAAGACAAAGATGTGTTGCTCAAATTGAAATCTGAGTATGTAAAAGATGGTAGGTGCAAAACCAGTTCAGGTGTTTGAATGCAATGTTGGCCTGTGCAGAATTTTTCATTTGTTTGTTTGTTTGTTTTCCTTCAGCGTTCCCACCAGAGGAAAAGGAGAATGTGGCTACCTGAGTGACATGGGGATCAGCAGTGCAAGGGACTACACACACAGGAAGTGGATTTGTAGCAAGTCCAAGACATATTTTACAGGTCCCAAAGATTTCAAATCGAGGGTAGGAATTGCATAGCATTGGTTATCAAAGATACTCTGTGACCTGTTATCTGCAGTTGCTGCTCCACTCCTGATCTGCTAACATTATCATCAAAATCCACCAATAATATGTGTTGACACTGAAGTTGAAAACTCACTTAGAGGAGCACAGACATAGGAAATTGGAAGAACACAGATGATTGTAAATTAAATAGGTGTTTGGGTATGAGTTAGTACTCATATCTTAAACCTAAAGAACAGTCTTGTCTGTATCAGTAACCTCTACTTTTATGATCCTATCTGATTTTTTTCCATTGGTCCTTGCTTTAAAGGCATGGAAACTAAAAATGTGGGGTGACTGAAGCCATGAAGATGGTTCAGTAATCACAAGAAAGATCATAATTGGTCTGAGGCCTCCAAATATTTTGTAAACATTACCATCATTCTTTTACAGAATTCAGTGACCAACATGAAGGGAGATCTAGACAGGATCAAAACCAGTGCCGTACTCTCTGTGATCCAATACCATTGTCCAAAAGGTTTTATACTTTTCCTCTCGGTGTTGTTATTTTTTAATTAAAATAGACTAAAGTCTGTTATAAGCAAATGTCATTTTATTTCCCTAATTTAACTTTTTTGAGAGTTTCATATATGAGTATGCCCTTTGAATTTTATTCCTTATCAGGCACTTTTCATATCAGGTCACAGTTAGTTACTGAACCTCCTTCAAAGCAACTGTCTACAGATGTGTGAATTTTAGGAGCAAAGCATTTAAAACTTGTTGTTCATATGCTACACTGTACTGATGAGTCCCAAACAGGACGAAATGACAGGTCACAAGTATCTCTTCTGTTAGCTCTGACTTCTTACTTGATTGACATTTGAATCAATCCTTCTAACCAATGCTACGCAAACACTGCACTACTTATATTTGCCACCAACCCTTTTGTAAATTTAGTTTTGTAGCAAGGCTGCTATGTAATCCTAATCTGGAGATGGCTGAAATAGAGCTATGCATCACCACCTGATACATATATTTATTCTGTATTAAAGTATTTGTTCAGAGCTAGTAATTAGCCTCTGAAGGCAAAGGCACCTATGACTAAGACTAATTACCTGAGCTTAACACCTGAACCCTGTGTTGGAAGTAGAAAACTATCCACAGCAAGTTGTCTGTGACCCTCAAACTTGTGCTATGTGTATAAACATGAACAAATAAGTAATGAAATAAAATTTTAAAGTTCATTTTTTGTAGTGGAATGATTATATTGAGTTTGTATTTTATCATTTTCTTTCTTTCTTTTGATTGTTTCTTTGTTTTTCTTTTTGTTTGTTTGTTTTTCAGGACAGGATTTCTCTGTGTAGCCTTGGCTGTCCTTAACCTTCTTTATAGACCACTTGGTCTTGAACTCAAATCTGCTTGCCTTTGTCTCTCAAGTGCTGGGTTTATAGGGGTGTGCCACTATCGCTCGGCCTAGACTGTGTTTTTATTTCTTAGATAAATGCAAGCATATCTCATTTAGGAAAATACTTTTCTCAGTGAAGATCCTTCTTCTTTTAGCCTGTTTTGCTTTGCAGTCCATTTTATTCCGAGTAAACAAATAAGAAATACCTATGTGAAATTTACTCCTGTATTCTCAGAGAATAGCACAGTGTGTCAAACACAGGAGTGTTCAAATCATGTATGTAAAGAAGGTGTGTCCTCATGAGTTACTGTGGTATTCCTGTTAGATTATATGTATTATTGGTTGCAGCTAGACCCTGGCACACATGAGAAGAAGCAGCAGCTCTGTACCATGCCTTGTGGCTGGGGTTGGTGCTCAACCAAGCACCTCCAGTGAATCCACCAGGTGGTTGGACACCACAATAGTGATTGAGTAAAGGGTGTTAAAATGGAAAAGAGAGGGGGCCAGAATGGTTCACGGACTGGGGAAATAGGCAGCTCTGAAGAGGTGAGGACAGTAGGGAACAGGTTCATATGAATGACGCCCTAGCCACCCTTGTACAAGGTGATGCATGGGCCTGGGTTATTGCCAAGGGTCATGTCTTGATCTGAGTCTCTGAAGCATCCCAGGAGGCTTGTGCTGATGTCTGTGTCTACTGTCACCACTGAGGGTCATGCAGAGACCTATTGTGTGGGCTGCCACCTGTGGTCATGCTGCCACAGGGTCCATGGTGAGCAGGTGGCCAGCACTGTCACCTGGGGCTATGGTGTCAGCTGGACCAGGGCTGCTGCCAATGACCGTGTCTGACCCTGTGGCACGATCACATCCAGGGTCTGCTTTAATGTCTGAAGCTCTTGATACCGTTGAAGGCCATGTTGATACCAGGGTTCTGGGCTGCTACTTGAAACCATTTTGATATCTGAGGGCCATGCTGCCTCCTGAGCCATACTGATTTGTGTATCCTGTGCTGCCACTGGGGCCATGGTGACATAAAGACCTGAGCTTTTAGCAAGGGCCATGTCTGGGCCCATTGTCCTGCTATGGCTGGGGTCTGTGTTGATGCTCATGGCCTGTGTTTCCATAGGAGTCCCTAGGAACCATGCCTGCTGAAATCTGAGTGCTTTATTGAGCTGGCCCCTCCCTTCACTGACCCTGGGATAGCTGGCCCTGACACTCATTTGATACTATAGCAGGAGAGGTGGCCCCCACAGTCCAGAAATATAACTCCCCCTTTCATCACAGGCTGTACCTCACCTAGGCAACACACTAGAACTTGATCCTGTAGTTGGGGTTGCAGGTGAGCTGGCCCTGAGGGATTAAAAGCCAGAGACCTGATCCCTCCCCCATGTGCCTGCCATGTGGTGGCATGGTTGAGAGAAAGATGTCCTCTCCCCTGCTTATCCTCTATCACCCACAGCAGATGAGAGAGCTGGGCCCAGGGTCATGAGAGTGACTGAACTAATCCTGTGCCTCACCAGCTGCAGCATACAGAACAGCAGGCCCTACACCCTATCTGGGGAGACCACTGTAGATGAACCTGTTGTAGGGGTCACAGGTAAGTCAACTCTGAGGGCATGAGTTCAGGAGAGCTAATTCCACTCTCTCACATGCCTCCTACAGTAATTAGGATAAAGAGCCCTGCTCTTCACCTGGGCAAAACAGTAGAGCTGACCCTTGTGGTGTCAGTGTGGGTAGCCAGCTCTGAGAACCTGAGGGCAGGAGAACTGGTTCCATTCTTTGCTGCAGCCTGCATTGGATGAGCTAGCCTTGGCAATGCTTAAGAACTCACCTCATCAGTAGTAAGAAGGAGAGAAAGCTGATGGGCTGATCTTTTTACCCTAAGGTATTAACTGTCTTTGACCTTGAGGTGTGTTTCTTGAAGCAATAAATAGTTGTGTCCTCTCTTTTAGTTCAATCTGCCAATCTATTTTCTTTGATTGTGGAATGCAAAGCATTGGCTTTCTAGTATCAACTCGAATTATTAATTAAAAGTTGTGTATTACTTTCATCTGATAATGTTGTTTCCCCTCATTTCTTTCTTAACCATTTTCACACATGGTTTCACTCTTCATAGTGGGCTCATGACTGCCTTTGTCTTCATCTTCAAGCTGAAGAGTTACTTTGTATATCTTCTGGGGAACTTTGGTGGTGGGCAAGAATTTCTTTAGATTGTTTTCCTTTTATTTATATTCATCAGCAACAATTTCGGGATTAATGAATACATTAATACCTAGCTTCTTAAATTCTAGAATATCTCATTTTTTTAATCAGGGACATGGGAGAGTGAGGTTGTTTGATGGTCCAATGGATGCATTTTAATTTTTGAGGAGAGGAGCCCAATGTTGTTTTACATGACAGCCATGTTAGCTTCCATTCCCGCCAAGGTGGGCAGTTTTCCTTTGGTCCATATACTCCTCAACTTAGTTAACTCGGGTCTTGTTGTGGCTTCCAGGCATGTAAATTACATCAATTCTTATACCCAGCCCATTTTGCAACACATGGAGGGAGAGACTACTCTTACAGGTTCCAAAGACTTTAATAAATCAGAACATAAGTGAAGTCATTGATGGATCAGGGTTGCAGGACAAGGACCCAGGAACTTTGTTTCCCCTGGCATCCACCAAAAGGGGCAGAAGTCGGGTTTATAAGCCCAAAACCATAAACACACCTGTGCCAAGTTACACTTATTTTTTCACCAATCAGGGATGAGGAGCTTTCCTCAAGTGTTCCATGATGGTCAACTGGCACAGAACGGAAGGCTTTCAGCCCAACCAATCTGATTCATTTGTACCTTCTATTGTTGGGTACAACCAAAATGTGTTAGAGAACTGAGGAGCATAATAGACTATTTCTGTTGTTTAAGGAAGAGGTCGTTCAGCCACAGAAAAGTTCCAGGCTCCACCAAGGCCTGGAGACTAGAATTGTGTTTCGCCCTACAGGTAAAATGGAGTCTTAAGTCAAAATGACAGTACTTAAGACAAGGTGCTTTTGCCTGCTCCCTTCATAATAAATCTGACAGGTGAATGTGTACATCTGTAATAATCTCAATTAGGCCTGATATTTTTAGCTTGTTGAGATACAGTGAGACATGGCTTCCTAGTAGAATTTCACCTTCATAGCTTAAATAGATTTTAGTAGGATCCTATCCAAAAGTAAATTAATTCTTGAACAAAAGTGGCAGAGACAGATTATTTTCTTGGAGGGGGTATCATGGGAAAACATTCCTACCAATGTACCTTTAGGGTTACTGGATTTCAGATCTAAGACCCATGGATGATAAACTGAACCATCAAGAAGGACTCAGTTCCTTCTAAGCAGCATCAGAAGACAGGTACCAACACCATCTCAAGAGGCTGTGTGCACATTGTCAATTATGGTAATAGTCCCCTCTGATTTCTGTCCTGATGGTGTCATTGTTAGCAAGTGACAGCTTCTCCTTTATTCTTGTCTTCTCACAGAAAGAATTCACCCAAGACACAATTTGAGCAAAAGATTTTTAACAAAGCAAAGTAACTCAAAGTGAATGAACACTCCAAACAAGATTGGAGCAGGTTGATCTAAAGGTGGGAGGTAGCTCATTGAGCTCTGAATGATGGAATTTACAGAAATTTCTTATGGTCCTAATTCTACAATGTTATTGTCAATTACCCTCTTGGGAATTTCTTTTCTCCTATGTTAAGGAAATTGTTCCAGAGCCAAGATGTACCTACATTACTTCCTTTCCTGCTCATCAACTTACTCATTGGTGGCATGTGTGGTCATTGGGAAAGTCCCCTGGTACCTTAGTTTCTTACATGGCAGGAGGAGCCCAACTGTAGCTTCAAAGGAACATTGCAATTATCAAGAGACACAGCCACCAATGCACAGCCATGGTCCTCTTGACTCCCTCCCTAGTCAGGAAGTACCCAACTAGAAAAAGGTGGGTGTGCATGTCCTTGCTTCCCTCCTGCTCATATCTGCTTAGCTACATGCTCTTAACAGTCACAGGACCTTTCCAAAACTTTGCTGATGTTAACCATTGATTTATAGTGCTGCTTTGCTCAGATAGGATTTCTTAGAGAAGTTCTTTCTTAAGAATTTTCAAAAATGGATTTACTTTGATGTTTGATATATTGGAACATTATTATCAAAAACAATATAAGTACTTGTTTCTGACAAGTAAGAATATTGAAATTTTGAAAATGCTCGGTGATTAGGAGCATTGCCTGATATTGCAGATGATCCAGATTTGATCCCTACACAAACATTACAGCTTTCAACCATCTAAAGGCCAAGTCCCAGGGGATCCAATGCCCCCCTTCAGGCTTCTAAGTGCACTGCATATGCAAGGTGCACAGACACATATACAAGCAGAACATTTATCCATACAAAATAACAATACTTTATTGAAAAATTATTTTCATTGAAATTTTACTTGGACTTTAGCATATGCTTCAATTTAAGTAATTTAATTGGTCAATGAGTCTCTAAAGCATATAGATGCCTATTTTAATAGAAATTTTAGTATGCCTCCTAATACAGTAAATTAAATTGTATTCTTTTGATTCCCACTAAAAATTTGCCAACTATTTTCAATAAGTGTTGATATACAAGAGATTTATGAGAATAAATGCTTATTTTTTAATTTCTCCAACTGAAGAAGTAAAAATATGTTAATAATTTACTAAAATAACTAAATAGCCTACCTCAGTTTGTGCATGAGCCATAAGCTATAGATAGCTGTGGAAGAAATAAAATGTGAAGCCCTGTGTGATAGTGGGAAGAGTTAAGTCCTTGTCTAAATCCATTTCTGTTGCCATAATAAAAAAAAACTGAAGAAAACAGACCCTCCTGTCTGACAGCTCTGGAGACTGACAAGCTCAGACCCTCCTGTCTGACAGCTCTGGAGACTGACAAGCTCAGACCCTCCTGTCTGACAGCTCTGGAGACTGACAAGCTCAGAACTAGGTGCCACCAGCTCTTCAGGATGTGCTTGTGGATTACAGCAGAGTGGGAAATGTCACAATGACAGAGCTCAGTTTACCTAGAGTTACTCACTATCACAGCATTAGTCAATTATGTATTATGGAGGTGTCCATTAAAGCCAACTCTTCCTTAGCCAACTCTGAGTCTCTGGTGTCAGAGTCAGGAGCAAAGACTTTAATCAAGGTTCTACAGCCCAGATATAAGATAGCTTGGAGCGGGGGGGGCAGAGATAAGGACTTTTTATGCAGTTTTCTGTAGCTCTCTGCAGATAAATGACCCCAGGGGCAGAGATCAACAAAGGTCACACAAGGCCTCCAGTGCCCCTGCTGGCGTGGGTTTCCTCCTATGGAGCATGTGTTTGTGTACATTTACATTTACAGAATAAAGGCATTGCAACTGAGCGACTGTGAGTCACAGAGGTTTTGTAAACCATGCTTTGTGCCACTAACTGTGCCGGGAGGGCCGACAGCCTTGACAGTTCAGTGCATAGATCTGGGGTGGAAGGTAAAGCAATGGAGATGAGCTTTGCAGTCAGGAGTCAGGACACAGGATTTCAGTCATGTTTCAGCTTCTTTTGGCAGATCCAGCGGTTGTCTGCAGAACAGGTGTCAGAAAACACTTCTGTCTTCGAGATAACAGCACAGCTGTCTTCTTTGGCCTTGCCAGTGACCTGTAATCTGAAGAGCAAAGAATAGATGCTCCTAGTTTTCAGGATTTTCTAAAAGTGATCATATCAGCCTTTTTTGAATATGTAAGGATACTGCAGATTACACAGTGTGTAAGGCATAGTAAACACAGTAACAAACATTGTAAACACATATAAACACTAAAGATACTGCCAATAAAAACCTCTAGAATTTTCAGTTGCACCATCATTGGAGAAGAACTAGACCATCAAACATTTTTATCATGATGTATGAAAAGGAGAAGGTGTGAGAATTTGTCATGAAATCTCCTAGATGTACAACTGACATGTCATGTGACCATGTGGAATACTAACATGTCATGTGATCATGTGGAAAGCATCTTCATTGTGCAGAGCTTCAATTTCCTTAATCACATAGCAGAGATGTCACACATCAGGCAGTAGACAGGGTTCCCTCTCAGCTGTCACTTTTCCTTTGTTGATTTCTGCATGGAGCCCTTGGCCTTAGCAGCAAATTTGATGTCACCCTAGTGCCTTTCATGCTAATCAAACTATGAACTTCCCTCAGCTGGACTTCTGTAAATGTCCCATTTTTTTTTTCATTCTTTAGATTCTTTCTTCAATCATCAAGCCAATCTGCTCAAATCAATGACTTCTTTTCCAAAACTCCTTGATAAATTCCCAGGACCTCTCCAGCCAGACTTCTGGTGAGGCTCTAACATTATTTCATTTAATTCCCAAAAATTCCTGCTTACAAAATTTTTACTTCCCCTTGTTTTCCTTGTCTGAAAACAAGGGGTCAGGAAGTTAAGTTAGAGAAGAGACAGGGTGATAAAGGAAGGGTCAGAGAATGTGTAGAAGTCAGACAACAGTTCTAGGGGTTCCTTCCTTTCTACCTTATTTCTGTTATTGTGCTGTGGATTCCAGACTCACTGGTCCAGGTACTTCTGGGTGATTCTCCTGTCCCCTCCTGTCTCTCTGAGGAGAGCTGTGAAACAAATGTGGACTCCTGAATCTGACTACTTATAAGGATTGGGTGGGATGAACTCAAACTGTGATGTTTACACAGCTGGAGATTTTACCCAAAGCCATTCTCTTAGTCCATTTAAAACAAAAACAGGTTTAACTGACTCTCTTTATATTGTAAAAGGACAGCCTCAAAATGTACCTGATCACTGCTGTCTAACCACAGAATCTCTTTATCCAAAGAGTAAAATCACACAGCCACTCAGCTAAATCCTCTGCCTTACATGGATTTCTTCACTTTTCATCATATTTTTAATATGAACCAAAATTAAGTAAGCATTTTATATCATAGTACAATTACACACACACACATATACACAAAAAAATATGAAACCTTACTGTGTGAAATTATTTTTAAACAGCAATGTCTGTATTGATTCTACCTATAGAAATTCATTTCATGACACATCATACTGTTGCTACAATTCTAAAGTACTGCTGAAAAACTTCTGTGTAGAGGTTAAAGAAATGGGTTAGAGGATAAGAGTGCTTACTTCCCATTCAGATGACCCAGGTTCAAGGTCCAGCACCCACTGGGTAGCTCAAAACCATCCGTAACTCCAGTTCCATGAAAACTAATGCCCTTGTCTGGCCACACACATATACTGAGGCACACACACATAAAATAAAACATTATACTTTTTATTTCTATGTGAGTGTGGGAAGAAGAAAAATCTATGAATTCCAAACATACATGTTCCCTATCTTTTAAAATCCCATTGTAAATAAATATACACACATACATTATCATAAAGAGTTGATGTCTGTTTGTACAAGAAAATTTTCAACTTACTTTAGAATTGTCTTTTCAGCCTATTTCAACACTCAAGAATTTATAAAGTAGATCAAAACTACAAAAGTAAATTTTCAGTAATATGGATGTGAATTGGATATTCAGATTAGCTCATTTAATACTCACAGGTCAGGGTTTAAAGTAGAGCCATTGATCCACTTCCACATCTTCTCTGCTGATACATAATGTAGTCCAATAAAAAACTCACGTTCTTTGCTCTTTAAGAAATCCCGGATGAATTTCTATAATCAAAGCATAGTGGGAGACATAATCATCAATCTGTTTATCATGACTGACTTTCTTGTACCAAACTTCTAAAGCACTATGTCTGCTATTGAGCTCCTTCCTAGTTCCCCACCATCATAAGTCTGTCTCCTTTGTAAAATTGTTCTCTATGTATTTCTACTTTTCATTGATTCATCCCATTATTTTTGTTAGTAACTCATAAATCCAATTAGTCTCTTAGGTGATGAACTGTTTAAAATCCAAATCTCCACTTCCTCAATATAGACAGTTGGCTAAAGTCCAGAGACATCAACACAGCTTCAAGAAAGAATAACGTTTAACTGGGCAATTTTATTTAACTGTTTACCAATTCTTCTTCATCTTCAATGAACAACAAAGTGGCTTCTTTCACAGAGCAATCAGTTAGACCTTCAGACCAAGGCCCGGAAGTTTGAGAAATAAATAAGCATTTCTCTCGGTATGAATGCCAGTCTCTCGGGCACTTTAGCATGGCTGATCCCCCTAGAGTAAGAAAGAACACATGTTGATTTCTGCCCTGTTCCTGCTGCACCACTATCAACTCCACACAGTAGCTTCTTCATCAGAGCATGCCAGAACAAGGATAATGCTGTCATGTGTCAAGGAATCCAAAATAATTACAAAGGATTTACTTTATGTTTTTTTTCTATTAAGTAACATCAGCCAAAGTAAATTGTTGAACATGTTCATTAGAATAACCAAATATTCAACTTCTTAATTTGATATTTGCCTATTAAGGATCATTTGCACCAGCAGCCTGAGCAGCATGTCCTGGTACCTAAGATCATAGACTTCAAGGTCACACAGCTTCAGTGAAGGTCCCAGCACCTCCAATTATAAACTGCATGACTCTCCATGAGTTCCTAACATTTTATAGTGTCTTCATGGATGGATGTTTTGAGCATTGAATGAGGTAACTCACAGTACATATCAAAAATCACTTCTTATTCTCAGGAAATTCAAGCCACATAATTACCTGTTGGTTCAGTCCTGTTCTCTTGAGAAGCCACACTGTATTTTGCTATTGGTGGTTTTTGCACTAAGAATCGCACTAATAAATAAGAAAACACACAAAGAGAATCAAATGCTGAAATAAAAGGTGAAATGAGAATTTTATTTCTCTGTTGCAGGATATTTGATCACACTGTGAACTCCAAGATTGCATTATTTAGATAAAAATGAGCCATAGGTCAAGAGAGGCAGCAAGCAACCAGTTGGCTGGGAGCAACCATAGAGAGCGAGGGAAAGTGAGGAGTTAGGAGAGAGAGGGGGATAGGAAGTAGAAGGGAGGAACATCTGGTTAGAGGAAATTTTGTTTCAGATGAGGTAGGAGAAACTGTTTCTAGGACAACGGGCTTTTTCTTTGGTTTGAGAGCATACAAATAATTGTACAGAGTCTTATTGTTAATTATGGCATCTCAGCCTTATCTTAGATTTGTTCCTACATGGTTCTTATAACTTAAATTAATCGATATCTTTTAATCTATATTCTTTTACATGGCTCAGTTACCTTTACTTTGTACTGCCCATCTTGCTTCATTTGTATCTGGCTGGTGACTCTGCCTTTCTTCTTCCATGAGACCTGCCTAACCTCCTCATGCCTAGCTATTGGCAACTCAGCTCTTCATTAAACCAATTACAATGACACATCTTCACTCAGTGTAAAGGAATATTCCACAATATTTCCACCATTTTGTCTAAATAAGAAGGAAAAGTTTTAAATCTAACAGGATGGAACTATAAACAATAAAAACAATTATCAGGTAAGAATTATATTTACAATGCCCAGTCCATTTGTTTTTGGAGAAAATGCCCTATTATCTATCTTATCTTGATGAATTTAAAGTCTTATACCTAAAACATTTTCTATCATAGCTTGTATTACCATCTGAAAACTATCTTTTTAGTCCTCAAAACATTTTCTTTGATAAACAATTTGTTTTTATGCCCCTGAAAAATATATTTTATACCTCTCTTGTGAGTTTCTTTTTTGAATTTGTAACAGAGAAAACTGTGACTCTAACTATGTTGTCTTCAACTCCATCAGAGACCCAAGAAGGATATAATACTACCTTCAGACCATTAAACTTACAAAACTATAGAAATGACAGAAACAACTAGCTGCCTGGACAGTCACCCATGGTTCCTCTGTAGCATTAGAATATCCATCGTTGGCCTATAGGCCTAGAATATTTGACAGACTTTTCTGTGAAGCAAACATTTTTGAAGGACTGTTATACACTGCCTGACAACTTTTGTCCATTTCTTTCTTTTGTTTCCTGCCTAACCAGTCTAGACAGCGTACTCTTAGCAGTCAAGACAAGAGCAGTTTTTTACCCAAATGACCAGCTTTTCCAAAAAGAAAGCAAACTCCATATGAAAGTTCATTTATGCCCATCATTCTTTTGTGAGGTTAGTTGTTGTTGCCAGGAGCAGACATGTCTCATTGTCATGAAAAGCCTAATGTTATTAAAATATTTTAAATGACTTAAATTCTGTAAGTCTTTGAAATGTTGGAAGATCACCTATCTAAAATATAAGTTTGCACGACCTTGAAAACATACCAAATATAACTATAAGTTTGATTGTTATATATTACTAACAATTAAACTGCATTATTTTATTATCCTACATAGCTTTCAAGTACTAAAACTTTACATTACATCTTTAAATAAGCTGCATACCCTGAACAAGAGTAGAAATTATGAACATTATAACTAAAATAAACTTAGATTTGTATCAACATATAAAAATCCATTACCAATGTAAAATACTTGAAGCTAGTGGTTTTTCAAAAGTAGACTCAACAATCTACCTGTTTATCCCATCAGTTCTATAATATACCCATTTTTCCTTTCAGAAAGAGATCTCTTATCTAATCTCCTTTTTTCAAACTTTTTCTGACCATGATCAATAACAACTTGTAGCCAACACCTCTAAGTGATGACAAACATCCATAACCCACCAAATGACCAAATCCCACCTACCCCACCTCTTGAGAATGCAGGCAGTATGTTCTCTAGACTGTGTCCTGTTGGCTAGGGACCCTGAGAAACAAGCTACAGTTTGTTGTCCAGTCTCTGTATAATGGGAAACTACAAAGTTTATCTGAATTCTTGGCTGCAATAGTCTGTAAGGCTGGACTAACTCAGCCAGGAGCCTTGAAGCTGTTCTGGATGTAGAACACTGAAGAAACTGAAACATAGTCACTCTGAAAGGCTGGATCACCTGGGCCATGCATTTCACTGGTGTCTGGTCCCCTTGTTCTGAAAACGCATGAACTTTCAAAGGTAGCATATATATGGTATATGGACTTTGCATTGTACCCAAGCCAGTCAAAGATGAAATTTTGTTTTATGTTTGAGCAGGTAAAATATGCAACACCTGTCTTATAGTTTTTCTAGGTCTATTATGTCTCTAGTCAGGATTTTCAAGGGGCCTCACCCAATCAAACCTGATCCTCTTTAACCTTATATCAACACCTTTCACTTTCTCTGGAATCAAAAGTATAACCTCTTCCTCAAAGCAATACATTTTCTGACTTCCATTTTAAAGTTAAGGTTATCCTAAAGTATCTAGGTTGGTTAAATCTAACAGTCCCTTCCACGCTCCAATGTCTCTCAGGAGCAATCATTTTCTAGTTCCTAGTATTCAAAAAAATTCAAAGCACCATATAAGAGCCAAATACCCTGTGTTATAATATTGTGTGTTTGTGTGTGTGTGTGTCCCTTACTCCTTTTTTAAAATTTTGAAAATTTTTAAACTAAGTTTTTAATGACCGTCTATACCCATTTTCTTTTCTTCCTTCAGCATCCAATCACATGTTTAAACATAATGTACCTTTTTACCTGACTTTACTAAGCACCTGCAGCATTTTTCTGTGTGGGACAAATCCTAAGCAGCTATGGTTACCTACCACACAGCTCAGCTTAGTGCATGGTGCTGGCTCGTCATGCTGGCAGCCTGCTCTAACCCGCAGGCAACAGTCTTTGTATGTTGCCAAGCCTATCCAAGAGACCATGGTCACCACGAACATACATTTAACTCAATATTCTGAACTTTTTTAAAAAAGCTTTCTCAGGCATTATGTGGATATACTTGGCTGGATGTTGAATACCATATGTAACAGGTTTTTTCTTGGGGCTGCTAGGTCACAAATGACAGAGACTTACTGTTAATTATGAAACCTCAGCCTTAGCTTAGGCTTGTTCCTAGCTAGTACTTATAACTTAAACTAACCCATATTTTTAAATCTATTTTATGTGGCTTGGTTACCTTTACTCTGTACTATACATCTTGCTTCATCTGTATCTGACTGGTGGCTCTGCCTATCTTCTTCCCCCTGGGACCTCTCTGTCCCCAGGAGTCCCACTTAATCTCTACCTGTCTAGCTATTTGTCATTCATCTCTTTATTAAACCAATGACAATGTCACATTTTCATACAACATAAAGGAATATTCCAAACAAAAGAATGAGAAGGAAGGTGAGCCAGCTGCTTTCTTTGCCTCCCTGAGCTAGCAGGTTTCACCCCAGCATCTGGCTCCTGAGTCTTTATTGGTAAAATAAAAAAAGGAGAGACTCTGTTGAAATAGCATTTGCCTCACTACATAGAGGTGGCTTAGGTAGTGGCAGAGGTGGGCAGTGGGACATGAAGGCTCCCCCAGACCTCAACAGCAAGGTGATAGCTGTGGAGGTGTAGTCAGAAACTGAGGCATTGGTAAATTCAGGCGCAGCCACTGTGCTGTAGATAAAACAATATTTCTCACTTCAGTAAATCAAGTTATTTTTTTAAAAACCCAAAAATATGGATTAAGGGACAAATGTGGATATGTAAACAAGAAAAGCACAGAGCACTTGGATTCACACAGCTCCAAGACTGTTTATGATCTGATTGACACGTCAGTCTGTGGGTATTGCTGAAACTCTCAGCTTGCTCACAGTCACACCTGAGCTTGCTCATCTTCAATCACACCCATCCCAAGAGAAGGTTTAGAAGGCATGTAATAGATAAATATGGGAGTCTTCTAGTCTTCTCAATTTTTGTCATATTTTGTCACATTTGTGACATTTTTCTACAGTTCTAGATATACATATGACACACCTCATAATGTTTCTCAAAAAAATTAAATATGGAAGAATTATGAAGTTTCCACAGTGGACAAGGGTTGTTGTCCTGCAACATTCAATGTCATTGACCTTCCCCTATGCTCAAGGTATCCAAATACTCTGAAGAAGACTAAAGTTCTTGTGGGAAATTATGAAGCAAAAACAATTTCTGCACTTACCTAAGACACTGAGTCCAATCAGGCTCAAGAAAAGAAGGATCAGCCCAGCACAGCTGAGTTTCAGAGCCAACTGATGCCAGTGTGGGCACCGACAGGCACCTAAGAAGTGCAAAGAATACACTTGTTAAATCCACTTGAGTACATCTGAGATAAAAGTCAAAGGTGGCTTTGTTACTACATAAGACCTCCCTTAACTACAAGAACGCTTTCCAATACTCCTAGGGGACTGATTGAAACTGGAGATTGTGCTCCACACTCTGGAACTGTTTTATAATCAGGTACACACACATACACACAGTTTTCCATCTTACCTAAGCCCATACTACATCTGGCGGCTATAGCTTTCACAGTTTCATGTGTGATAGCATAACAAATTTTTCATTTAAATTGCATACTTTTACAATCACCTTTTAAATGAATACATTATGGTTTTTCTTTGGAATGACTGGGCTGTTGCTATCTTTACTTTTGCTTTACTTTTGAGATTTGGGACCATCGCTGAGTGAGTGTTACAAATATTAATGACTAGTGATTCACTCTTGACCTACATGCTGTGGAACCTCATTGTTGCTGCTCAGAGCAGTGTCCAGCTTAAAATATTGATTTACTTAATTCTACAATTTTCTAATTAGTACTTTAAGACAACCATTGACTATAAGCAACAAAAGATACAGACACTGAAATGGCAGATAAGGGGTACTGTGCTTTAACAAGACATACATTATGTCTATAACACATAAAGGGCACTGTGCTGTAACATGACATACACTATGTTTATAGCAGATAAGGGGTACTGTGGTGTAACATTGTGGGAGTCTCTGTGAACACCACGACTAGCAGTGTAACTATATACTGGAGGCAAGAAGACAGTTCAAATCAACATGACTAAGTAGCCAGTGTTGGTTTAAGCTTCTGGATTCTGACCCCAACTAGTGTACTTTAGGCATATCTAAGCACAGTATGAGCTATGGAAACTTCTCTGGTGATAACTAACTCAATCCCATGAACAAAATAAAGCTTAGGCTATACTACATAGACTCTTTACAAAGAACATGTGACACCTTCCATAAAGGTAGATTCTATAGATTGACAAGCTCATGATAAGTGTCTGGGAGATGACTCACTGTGGTCTCAGCCACACGGATAGTGCAAACGTCACCAGGGTATTAGCCATGTCCACACCCTCTGATTATGCATCCCCTTCTTTGAAGAAGCAATCCAGTGTATTGAACATTCCTGGTTTACACAGTGCTTATTTGTGAGTACAAGGACCTCCATGCTTCCTATATAACATGGTATACATTATGTCTACTACACTGCAATGACTATACACCATCTTTAATATCTCTGCTTTCCTTGGTAACTATGTCAACAGTGGACGTCTTCTGTTTATTAGATAGTGAAATATACTAATTTTTGAAATGTGTTCATCAAGTATATCTTTGTCAATTTAACTTTCTTCTAGACATTTAAAAATGTGAATTTCATATGGAATGTAATTATAGATTTTTATAAAGATATGGAGAAACATTGGTTGGATTTTAATCTCTAATATAATCATGATCTCCTGTTTGCTCTCATTTAATTTCAAACAGTTCCATGTGTTATCATTTCATTAATTGTTTCTAGATTTAATTATTAGAACCAAGTACCATACCATCCTGAGTGAAGTTTTCCTAGTTGCTTCCTGTTTTGCTTTGTTCTGCTTCTGAGATTGGGTTTCTTCATAAACTCCCCTGTGGTTGAGATGGCTTTGAACTCCTGGCACTCCTGTCTCCACTTCTCAAGTACTGGCATTACAGCTGTGCCCCACCATACATGGCTAGAATTTCTTAATTTCTACAGGTACAGATTTATTCCTGGTTTTGTTAGTTTCCTGCTGCTTCTAAATACTTCCTCTTATTACTGACAGCATGCTTTGAGTTAAATGGTAATGTTGTGGAATATTTTAATCACACTCTGACACTCCCAATTCTTGTCAGTAAGGTTTAACTTTGAATCAGGGGGTAGAGCCAGTGGCTAGCTGACCAGAATTGGCAATAGAGAAATCCAGATTCAGAAAGACAAAGACACTATGTTCACTCATAATTGGATATTAGTTGTAAAGCAAAGGATAACCAGACTGCAGTCTACAAAGAAGGAGGATCGTAAGAGAGACACATGGATCAGCCTGAGCAGGGAAATTATATGGGATCTACTAAGTAAACTTGGGGTGTTGGTGTTAAGTAGAAGGAGGATGAGAACATGAGGTAATGGAATTGTCTGTGGGGATGCAGTGGAAGAGCAATGAAAGAGATATCTTAACAGAGAGAGCCACTGTGGAAGAAACCTAGTGCTAGGGTAACTCCCAAGAATCCACGAGGATGACTTCAGCTAAGACTCCTAACAATAGTGGAGAGTACGCCAGAACTGACCTACCCCTGTAGTCAGATTGGTGAATACCCCACCTATCATAAAAGAACCTTCATTCAGTAACTAATGGAACCAGATGCAGAGATTCACAACCAAGCACCAGGCCGAGCTCCAGGAATGCAACTGAAGAGAGGGAGGAGAGAATATATGGGCAGGGAGGTCAAGATCATGATGGAGAAATTTACAGAGACTGATCTGTAGAACTGTGGAAGATCTGAAGAACTGAAACTTAATAGGAGAATCTGTGTTCAGGTTTCAACCAAACTCGCAGAAACTCATGAACTCTAGACCTATAGCTGTGGAGACTACAGGGGGACTTAACTAGAGCCTCCCTATGAGAGAGAGAGTTGTAAAGCCTGAACTATCAGTGAGGAACCTGGTAATAAGACCACAATATATGAGAAAACTTGTTGGAGCCCATTCTTAGGGTGAGATGCCATGCTCAGTGGCAGTAAGACCACAATATAATATGGTACATGACCTAACTAGTTGGAACCCATTCCCTATAGTGGGATGCCATGCTCGGTCTTAATGCATGGGAGAGGGGCCTGGACCTGCCTCAACCTATTGTGTCAGACTTTGTTGACTTCTCATGGGAGACCTTATCTGTGAGGAGGAATGGACTGGTGATGGGCTTCAGGGAAGGAAAGAGGGGGGTTGAAGAATGGGTGAGAGGGAGAACTCTGATTGGAATGCAAAATGAATTTTAAAAGAATAAAGAAATTATTTTTTAAACTGAAATATAATGGGAATTCTAACTCTGGAAATTATTCAGATGCCAAGAGGACAAATAAAGTCACTTACCTGAGGAAAGAGATGAGGGTGTGCTAAATGTCTTTACATTGCCATAGACTCTTGATGAGTCCATTTTAGACACAAGAAGTGAACTATGAACAGTGACAAGCTCTGTGAGACAAAAGGAAATATGCTATGAACACTCTGTTGTCTGCGTCCACAACCAACCACACATGTTGCTGAAATAATTGGGAGCATGTGGGGAAGGGAGAGGGAATTAGGAGTAAGAGAAGGGGAGAAGATAAGGGAAGAGGAGGACATGAGGAAGCAGGAAGACTAAGTCAGAGGAAGACTAGAGGAGAACAAGAAAAGAGATACCTTAATAAGAGGAGTCATTATAGATGTAAAGAGAAATCTGGCACTAGGGAAATGTCCAGAGATCTACAATGATGACCCCCAATTAACAGTCTAAGCAATAGTGGAGAGGGAACCTTGAATGCCCTTCTCCAATAATGAGATTGATGAATACCTTAAATGCCATCCTAGGGCCTTCATCCAGTAGCTGATGGAAGCAGAAGCAAACACCTACAGCTAAACACTGAGCTGACCTCCTGGAATCCAGTTGCAGAAAGGGAGGAGTGATAAGCAAGGGGGTTAAGACAAGACTAGAGAAATCCACAGAAACAGCTGACCTGAACAAGGGGGACCTCATGAACTCCACACAGATAGGTGGGAAACCAGCATAGTACTGTTCTAGACCCACTGAATGTGGATGTCAGTTGGAAGTCTGGGCAATCAATGGGGCCTCTGGTAGTGAATCAGTATTTATTCCTAGTACACAAATGGAATTGGGAGCCAACTCCACACAGAGGGATACTCTCTCAGCCTGGACACAGAGGGAAGGGACTAGGCCCTGCTCCAAATGATATGACAGACTTTGAAGATCCCCCATGGAAGGCCTCACCCTCCCTGGGGAGCAAAAAGTTGATGGGATAAGGGTCAGTGGGGGGCAGGAGAGGAGGAGATGGAGAGGGTACTGGGATTGACATGCAAAACATGCTTGTTTCTAATTTAAATTTTAAAAAATACACACACAAAAAAATAGAAAAACAACAGAAACTGTCTTTGAAAAAAGAATAAATGATTTTTTAAACTGAAATATAATGAGAATCTTAACTCTAGAAGATATTCAAATGCCAAAAGGAGAAAAAAAGTCACTTACCTGAGGGAAGAAATGAGAGTGATACAGGCTTGTACTCTGGGGTCCTAGATGTCTTCAAACTGCCATAGACTCTTGATGAATCCATTGTAGACAAAAGATGTGAACTGTGAACAGTGACCAGCTCTGTGAGGTGAAAGGAAATCCGGTATGAACACTCTGTTCTCTTCGTCCACACCCACCCACACTTGTAGTTAAGGGTTTTACCACAGGTACCCACTATGACCACAGAGTTTCCACATTCTTATCTTTAAAACAGAAGATGTAACACGTGATCTATTCTGAATTTTTTGTTCTTCTTCCTCTAATCATCTGTTTTGAGTTAAAAGCAGAGGTAAAACAAAGAAATCACTATTGAACAAAAATCTGAGGAATCATCCCCACCACACTCACAGGAAATATACTGTGCCATGTTGTGAAAATAAAAATATGTGAAAGCCCCTGCTGCTATTTGACTTGAATTGAAGTTATAAAATCCTCCTGAAACATTCATGCTGTGAAGGAAGCTGTGAAATACAGAAATAAAATATTAATGTGGATTTTTTAAAAAAATAATTAACAAAACAATGACTGACACAGTAAGAATAGTAATGAGGAGGGAGCCACACATGTCTTTCAGCATTGTCCTGAAAGTCCATACAGGTACAGCGATGTTCACCTGAGTCAAGGACTTCATCTCTCAGAGATACAGAGAGTGAAGGACTTAGGTTTATGGGATGTGCTAATCCCTCCAAGGGTTTTCAGGCCTAGAGTCTTAGCCCAACTACTACAAACTCCAAGTTAGGCATTCTAATGTCACAAGTGAAAAAAAGAAGAACAAAATCAGGGCTACTGTAGCATCATTTTCTGTGGTCAGAGTGGAATTGTACCAAGCCCTCACAACTAAATGACAGTGGCATCAGAAGACAGGAGATGCACACTCACAGTATGGGGAGCACTCTGGTGCCCCAAGAACACTGACTATGAGGAGGAAGTGAGAGTAAGCATATGTTAGGGTTATGCTTCTTCTTTTGTTAAGATAGTGTAACATTACATGGGGAATGTGTGAATAAGCATTCCAAGTATGAAGTTTGTTCATGGAGCATACTTTAATACCTTCATCCAATAAAAGCTGTGGGGATAAATTGGAAATATCAATACACTGAAGAGAAGTCTGATGCTCTAAGCAGAAGATTCAAATAATGCTGTGAGAACAATGAAGTTTACCTGTTTGTGGCTACTAGAAGTTGCAATAGCTCTACTAAGAATAGCAGAATTGAGGTGAGATTTCTAGTAAAGACGCTGACAAATGTTTTTATGCCGTAAAGTGTGAACTAAATGGAAAAAACAACCAGAAGCTACCATCATTTGTCCACATGAGTGTAAAGCAAACTGACCACTTGTCAATTACAGAATATCAGAAGAAACACCAAGTACCGTGTAGTTATGTAGCCATCATAGCACAAAAAAAATAAAAGCCTCCTGAGAATGCACTCCTAGACAATTTAGCTGTGCTAATTGTAACGTGCATTCTCCCACCAACCTGGTCCCAGAGACATGTCAGTCCCAAATGAACATGCAGGATGCTGTATTAATTATGAAACTGTTGGCTGTTTGTAATGGTTTCTTGTTGGCTAGCTCTGACTCAATTTAAAAACCCATAACTGCTAATCTGAGTATTTCCACATGGTCTTCTCTTACCAGAGAAAGGGTCCAGACCTCTTACTTCTCTCACGAATTACATGGTGACTGACTGTGCCTCTCTTTCCCAGAATCCTCCTCAACTCCTAGTCCCACCTATTTTGCTTCCCTATTGTTCAACAGTGCTTTATTCATTAACCAATAAGACAAACATTTACACAGAAGGACTTCTCCCATCATCTCCTCTTTTTTGTCTGAATAAAAAGAAAGGTTTTAACTTTAACATAGCAAAATCTAAGCAAGAACTTTAAATACAATATTTAGTCCATTAGTGTTAGCAAGATTTAAAGAAAGTATCATCTATCCTGTCTTTGTGAGTCTAAAGTCTTATACGTAGCTTATCTTTTATTATAACCAAGGAAAACTGTAACTATCTGTCTTCAACTCCATCAAAGACCACAGAAGGATAATATATAAACACTAAAATTGGCAGAGACACCTCACTACCTGGACATTCACCCAAAGTTCCTCTGTAACGTTGGGGCATCCATCTTCAGTCTATAGGCCACAGGCAGACTTCTCAGAAAAGCAGGAAATTTTAAATTGTTCATCTGAATTGGCAGGTTTTTAGTCATTTTTCTGTGTCCTGCAGAATGTCTGGCACACTCTTCCATGAAGCACGAACCCTGTAGGACTGTCCATCAAGTTCAGCAGTCACTCCCCTATCAGTCTTGCATGTCCAGTTTATACAGTAACAATCAAATAATCCAGGCAAGAGCAGTTTCTTGCCCAAACGGCTAATCTTGCCATGTTGAAAGCAAACTCCACGAGAGTTTCTTCGGTGCCTAACTTCCTCTCAGATGTAATTGGTTTGTCAGGAGTAGTTGTGTCTCACTATAATGAAAAAAACCCTAAACCATTTAAATGCCATATATTCTGTAGGTCTTTGAAAAGTTTGAAGAAAATCTAGCCATCTCAATTATATCTCTGTATATCTAGAAAACCTAACTAACCTAACTATAAGTATTGATTATTACAGGTAACTATCTATAATCTGCACTTAATTATACATTTAATTTTAAAAGAACTTTATAAACACAATATCTAAACAAGAGGAGAAATATATATATCATAAAATTGATCTTAAATTTGTATCAATAAATGAAAATCCATACCAATACAAAGTATTCATCTCCATACCATAATCTCCCTTTTAGCTTTAAAAAGATATTAGTTGTGATCATTAAACATTTATAACCAACTCCATTTAAATAAAAACAAAAATTTATAAACAGCATTTGGGAATTTGGACGTTATTCATTCCAAACTGCTTCCTGCTAGTTGGGGGCGCCGTCCATACCATGGGGATCATGACAAAACACAGAAACCTGGCTAAGTTGTATTTGTAGTTTCCAAGGCTGCATCATCTCAGCTGTTTTAGATGTTGGATCACCTGAGCCACTGCTTCAGAGAGGATATGGCTATGACTGTCTACCCTTTAACCTCATCAAAGACCTCAGAAGGGAAATGACATTACTAGGGTAAGCAGGCCATGCAAGTGTGGCACTTCCTTTTTTTCTTGGTTTTTTTCAAAGCAGGGTTTCTCTTTATTGTTTTGGAGCCTGTCCTGGAACTCGCTCGGTAGGCCAGGCTGGTCTCGAACTCACAGAGATCCACCTGCCTCTGCCTCCCGAGTGCTGGGATTAAAGGCATGTGCCACCAACGCCTAGCAAGTGTAGCACTTCCAAAGGTGCAAGTGAAGACAGAAACAGCAGACTACCTGGACAGTCACCCAAGGTCTCACAGCAATGTCAGGGCCACCAACATTGGCTAAGGCCTAAAGTATCATATGGACATCTCAGAAGCAGGGAAATTGAAAAACTCTCTTACACTGACTTGGTAGGATCAGAGTTTTAGCATTAATAAATGCAATTTTGATAAACTGGCAAAGCACTGACTACAGTTTTCAGGAGTTCTTGCATTTCTGTGGATTTTACTGGTCCTGGTTTTTAGGACTATATAGAGGCCTTTTCAGCATTACTGCATTGCATCTAGACACATATGACAAAACTCTGCTGAAAGCCAACTTCTTCCTGTCTGACACAGATCAACATCAAGGAAGGTATGAACCCTGCAAGCATGTGCAACTCCCTCCTCCTCCTCTTGCTCAACATCTTTTTTTCAGTGAATATAGACTTAAAGATATGTTCCATCGTGCTAAATCCAGGCCCTATGAAAAACGTTCATGCCTTTTAATCCAAAGCCAAAGCCTTTTGTTATGACACCAAGATAAAAGTCTACTCCAGCTATTTTACAGGTACCTGCATGTTCCTGGAAAAACCCAACCTACAGGGTCCCTCCAGATACACCATTCCTTGCACCAGCTTGTGGCAGACCCTGCACCAGTGTCTGGGCAGGGCGTTGGTGGCACATGCCTTTAATCCCAGCACTTGGGAGGCAGAGTCAGGCAGATCTCTGTGAGTTTGAGTCCAGCCTGGTCTACAGAGTGATTTCCAGGACAGCCTCCAAAACAATACAGAGAAACCCTGTCTTGGAAAAAAAAAAAAAAGGAAACAGCCTCTGAGCGCTCCAGGATGGAAGCTAAGCAAATGATTCTCCACCCATACCTCCCACTGAGCATGAGCCCAACTGACTGCCAACTACCCCTCCCTTCATCATCTCTTGCCAGCATGAAGTAGCCAGACTTAAACTCTCCTCTGGAGCTGCCATCTCCAAACCTTCTCAAAGAAAGCCCACCAAGCAGCAGCTACACCCCCAGAGGGTATATGAGGTCTGTCCCACAGACTTCCCCTCATGGTTTTCCCTCATGTCTTCTCCTCTTTCCTGGGACCACTCAGGAATGTTTTGTTCAGATTAAACCTGGACTTATTCATTTGGCTTGATCTGATTTATTGCATTGGTGGAAAAACACACAGGTTGCAGAAACTTTTCACCAAGCCCACTGTATGCTTGGTCTGTCATGTTCTTTCAATACTCCATGTTCCCTTTGTGCATCACAGCTTGGTTAGCTTTGCCCCATGTATGTTAGCTTTCTTCTGACTCTGTCCCATTTATCCCCTGGAAATAATGCAAAAGATGCTGCGTTTCTTGTTGGGGTCGATAAAAATGACTTTGATTCATCTTGACTTAAGGTCACAGAGTTCAAAAGTATCCTTACTCTTCCAAAGTTAAAGTCATAAGATCTAAAGGTCTAAGGCATGGCTACTGTGGGGTGTTTGGTCTTAGGCATGAATGTCTTATCTAAAACACAAGAGACTTGATCTAAGGTATGGTTACTCTTAACCCTCAAGATCAGATAATGAGAGATTTAGTCTAAGTTGTGATTACAAAATGTTAGGAGAATTAAGAAAGTTTGTTTGTTCCTTATATCATGATAAAGAAGTGTTCCCCTGTTTAGCTGGGGTATATAATAATGTTGAAGAATAAACTTGGCATATTCTATATTCACTGGACTGCTCTCCTGACTCTATTCTGTATCTCTGTCTT